CGTGATTTTGAATTAGTAAATGCTTTATAGTGGCTTACACATATTTGTATCCACGAGTGAACTCTGCAAGAAAAGCGGAGTTCGCAACTCTTCACACCAAAAGCTTGAACATACAAGGCATATTTGATTATCTATATTGTGTTATTGACATAAACATCAACCAGTTGGTTTTTAACAGCATATATATTGACAGATCACGGCTCTGGGTGAGTTGTCTTTTGTTTCATTGGCTAATTGATTACTAACATCTCTGATAGTTTTATTAACTAGATAAGCATTCCTAGATACATGTCAGACAATAATCTGACGATAGTTACGTAATTATATTAATTTATCGCAATCTAAAGTTCTGTTGGAACCAGCCCTTACGTCTTTGGATGTATTTTGTTAGGATTTAGAGAACAATCCTGATCTTCGAAGACGGCTCAAACCGTTGCAGAGTGGGGATCTTGGTGAAATCTTCTGTAGCGTTTTTTTAATATTTGTGTCTTCTTGAGATGTTTTTGCTAGCTCAATACGCTTCTGCCGTCGTCTAAAGTATTAGCTGTTGAGACTTGTCAAGATCTTGTAGGGATTGTACTCTCCGATGAGATGAGTTTCACACTCTTCCACTTTAATTCGCGAACATTGAAGAATGCTCACAAACGTGCGCAGCACTATCACAAGATTTTATGTTGGTTCACATAGTAGGTATTTCTCAGCACTTGAATGACAGTGATTGATAATGTTTAATACCTAATTACCTTAATGGCAGAGAATTTAAAATTTTCATCTAGTTCAATTCATGTAGCTACAAGTTGGTAAAGCTGTGATAGGTATTGATTTTATTCTTACCGTAGAGAAAGGGCACAAGTATGAAAGAAAGGAGCAAACAATTGGGATTTGGTGAGGGAATGCTACATAATGTGCTACAAGAATGGCCTCGTAAGCATAGAGCAATATTTGAAATGTTAGCTGAATCTTATAAAACAAAGCGGAAATAAAATACTTCTGGGGAATGCCTTCTTGCGTAGTACAGTTATGAAAATAGCACCAGCGAACAACATTTTATTCGTAATGAACCAACAAAACGTTATCCATAATCCAACTATGATTATTACTAACCTAACCGATATAAAACCCCAAATATTTACAATTTAACGCGTTTAACAACAAAACGATATTTATGTAAAAAATTAAAAACTGTGGATGAGATTGATATTAACATAAAATGATCATAATAAATCACAAAAATGTAATCCATAATCGGTTTCTTTCCAATTCTTTCGCATTATAAACCATAAAACTTTATATCTCTAAAAGTTTTTGGGTAAGAAACTTTCTCACATTTTTTATATTACACCAATAGAGTAACACAATTTGTAAAGGTAAAGTTATAAAGGTGTAATAGACTAAAAAGGAATAAAGCAATTTCAGTATAAATGTATATGATATGACATGGCTTCAAAAATGTATAACAACAGTAGTAAATAAAGCAACATAATGGACATTTTTAAGTTACCACCTATTATTATGAACTACGAGCAAAGTTTTAGCGAGCAATTAATATAGTCTACAAACTTTATTGCTGGAATTCCACCTGGATCCCACTTAGTCATGATTTACTATTAAGAAATTATAGCTGAAAATGTTAACGAATGATTAAGCAGATATTAAAAGTTTTTGCATTAATTCAACTACCTTCACTTTATTTTAATATTTTTTTATTTTTCCATACGTTGTAAAAGTTGTAAATCAAATAAATATATGAAACAAATGGTTTTTATTATATACCATCGCCACTAAAAATTCCCGGTATAGCTGTAATTTATATGTGTTTGAAAATTAATATCGGCAATGCATTTGCCGTAGATACATATTTGTCATACCATGTTTCTACTAAATCACATGAAACCGTCAAGCGAATATTCCTAAAACTCGTCGATATTTATTGCTTCGTATATTTCCGTTAGCAAAATCCATTTAGTAACATGGATACTAGGAGCTTATATATCATCCTTTTCTCAGCAGTCCCATATAGAAAAAATGTTACTCTTGAAAATTCACTTAACCTTCCCTTCATCGATTCAAAATATTGTGACAACATTGGTAATATAAACTATAAAAAAAAATACTCATGAATTTAATCTTTTTTCAAAAATTTCATTATAAATCCCATGGATTTACGTGATTCTAAAAATGAGATAACATTTTTAAATTGAATGAGTGCCGATAAATCGGAAGCAAATATTAAAAAGTTTGCGAAAAATTTTTCTCCCCGCGTTCTACGTTATCGGATATCGAATGATTCACGTATCCTCTTCGGATTATCAGCCCTATACGATTTCATTGACATTTCAATTTGTCGGGAATATTCGAAAAGCAATCTCGGGGTGTGTTATTCTATCTTTGTATATTTGTCAGATGTCTTTGGCGAGTCCGCTGTAATTTTTCACTTTTTGTATCCTCCCCGTTACGTTTTATATCTAAAATGGAAATCATAAACTTTTTGATTTTTTTTTCAACGAGTTTGTAAACGCCAAGTTTTATTAAATTATACGAAATTGAACGTAAAGCTTGTTATATAAAGAGTTATAACGCTTTTGATGATGAAAGACGTCTTGATTAAATCTCACCTTAATGTCAGTATAGGTCTAGTTAAGTGTTCACCTCAATCGCTGTGTATACGACTTTACTGCGGTTAACCACCTGTGGAAGGCAGAGGTAGAGTCTGTTTACATTTGGCATTGGTAACCGAATATGCCTAACCACTTAACACTATTGCAATATCTTTAATGGGTTGCTCCAGATGTGACAATAAAAGCTATTAATTGTTTCGTGAATTAGCGTAATAAATTAACAAATAAATTTAATAAAATAAATATAGTAATAATTTATCTCCTACGATTACATTACCTCAGTTAATAAGTGGTTAACAAATACATACTGTTCTGTTAATTTATGCAGCAACTGGGACGGCTTGTAATATGTTCCAACAATCGATAATGTAAATCTCTTGTAACGTTGAGAATGCTAAATTTCTGTGGAAATATGCAAAATAACGTCAATATTCATGATGATAAGATTTTCACACTTTCAACAGATTTTTTTTAATGGAAGTGTTATTACAGTGAATTAAAACATTTCACACCATAAATCACGTATTATTAAAATATTAAAAAATATATTGTTCTTGCAATGACGGTTCCTAATCCAATGATGCATTAGGAATATTTTTTATTCATAACGTCTCTGTCCATCAGTTTTAGTACTTACGTTAGAGTTGATTTTATTAAGAAAAATCATTGAATTTTTACATTTTGTGATTTATGCTATATCACTAGAAACTGTTGATAGATAAACATGAAATAATTATGGATTATGATTTATTCATGCATTAAGAATATTTTTTATTCAAAATGTCTTTCTCCATCACTTTTAGTACATCTATTAGAGTTGATTTTATTAAGAAAAATCATTGAATTTTGACATTTTGTGATTTATGCTATATCACTAGAATCTGGTGATAGATAAATATGAAATGATTCTGAATTATGATTTCTTGATCCATCAGGATTTTTTATTCATAACGTTTTTCTCCATCAGTTTTAGTACTTTTTGTAATTTTCTAAAGAAAAATCGTGCAATTTTGACATTTTGTGATTTATGCTATATCACTAGAAATTGGTGATAGATAAATATGAAGTAATTCTGGATTATGATTACTTGACGCATTAGGAATATTTTTTATTCACAACGCCTTTCTCCATCACTTTTAGTACTTCCGTTATAGTTGATTTTATTAAGAAAAATCGTCAAATTTTGTCATTTTTGATTTATGGTATATCACTAGAAACTGGTGATAGATAAATATGAAATAAGTATGGATTATGATTTCTTGATGCATTAGGAATATTTTTTATTCACAACATCTTTCTCCATCAGTTTTCTCATTTACGTTATAGTTGATTTTATTAAGAAAAATCGACCAATTTTGACATTTTGTGATTGTAGGCTATATCACTAGAATCTAGTAATAATTAAATATGAAATAATTATGGATTATGATTTCTTTATCCATTAGGAATATTTTTTATTCATAACGTTTTACTCCATCAGTTTTAGTACTTACGTTAGAGTTGGTTCCTTAAATCGATAAAAACTTAGAAGTTTGCACTCGCTTTAATTAACCTAAGCAATCTCATTTATGTTGAGAAAGAATGTCGCGGTCTATAAAACTTGATTGTACTCCGCAATAACTTCATTCAAAGTATAACATTGAACGTCAGAAGTTTTCATTGTAGATGTACTACATTTATATCTAACAAACTGAAACGATGTCCATTAACACCTTTCAATATGAACTATAATAAAAAAATGAGTTTAAAAAAACCGGAACTAAGCGAAAATAAATGCGGTCATCCATGAAATTGAAACCCAGCAAGTGAAGCAGCTGGGATGAAGTGTCTCTAAGACAAATCACCCTGTTACTCACAATCCATTTGGAACTATTTCTGGCCTCACCGCTACATTTCATATAATTGCTAACTACTGACACCTTGCATTCATAATTTATAGGCGTATAAATCATTCTTGACATGTGGACGATGATGTTTAACTTACCGTACAATTAGATCATTCACAAGATTAATAAAGTAATTTGTTTTAATAAATATTACATTTATTTAACGCGTAACTATACCATTTCATGGACCATAAACAATTCAAGTTTTTTTAGAAACACTTAACCTTGGTCATTGGATAAAAGGTGACGAATTTGGATGGCCCATTTCAAAAGCAATGGGTTTTTTACGTTCCACTTGGACAACCCGAAAAAGGGGAGCTATCTAATGGTGATATATGACGGGCGATAATTTGCTTTTCGCGTCGAATGCGATGGAGGATAACTTGGGTCGTGAGAATGGTCGAAAGAAAAAAAATATTGATTCAAAAACATACAAAATTCTTCGCAAGTTTGTAAATTCGATTACATTTTTGAACACGCTCTTGTTTCGTTTCAGGCTCAATCAGCAATATCGACGGAGCGGAATACCACTGTAATAAAACCCAAGTTCGTAAGGTCATTTCCGGCGTAGTTGGTGCTGCTTCCAGCGTTACCTCCATTCAAGTCGCCAATCTTCTCCGTCTCTTTAAGATTCCCCAGGTAAGATTTGAAATTGTTTGTCTTATTTACTTCTAAACATTTCTATTTTTCTTGGTAGTCGTTTTCAAAGAAAACCTTTTAAACCTTAAATAAAAGTTTAAAACGATTCTATAACAACATAACTTTTTATACATACGCTGAAAATAGGAATATCGCTGTTTACAAACAACACTACTCTACACGTAATTGTTTTTACTGTAATTTCGATCCGCAATTTATTGAACATAGGGATCAAATGCTCACATTGTTTGTCGACGTGTATTAGTTAAATAGTTTTATACCAACACGCAAATAATCCTTCACGTAATTACGTTTACTGATTTAAAAATGAATTACATTGTGATTACATTTATTATCGCATTAATTACCGTATCGCATTAAGTGTGTTGATAATTTTTAATATTATAATTATTATTATCTGAACTTAAAGTGTGTAGATGAGATCTCCGCTTTCGTATGAATCATTTATGAGCAATAACAAAATAAATAAGATTACACGTAGTAAAGGGAATTTTAAAAATTAAACGTAATTTAAAAACATAGAATTTATTAACTTTATCTCACATAATCCAAAATCTTAAATAAACTCTAAATAAGTAATAAATGTTGATATCCAGTATTTATCAACCAAAACTTTAATAAATGAAAAGGTAAATTATCACTTAAATCAAAATTTTTATGATGAAATATATACCTACGAAACTCTTCATCAGAGTACAGTACAACATGGACAACAAACTACTCGAGTCCTCCCATGATGAGGTGGTGGTGGGGGTGGATGAAAATGTGGTCCATGTCCTGGAGGACCCATAGGCGGTGGTCTATGGTGTCCTGGTGGACCTAAATGAGGTGGGCCATGGTGTGCGGGTGGTCCAAAATGAGGTGGACCATGATGTCCAGGTGGACCGTGATGTCCAGGTGGGCCATGATGACCTCCGTGTCCTCCATGCCCGCCACCATGAGGTCCAGGACTCATAATCAATCACAAAAAAGTTTACTAAACACCTTCAAATAAGATACTTTTATGAAACCAATTTTTTTTTTAGATTTGTACCTTTTACGTTATCTACGTATCCGTATTATCTTATCGTTAATGTGTATTATCGCTTTTTGTCCATGATATCGTATACAGTATGACTGAATAATAAATAAACAAAACCTTAATCTGTAGGAAATAATAAAATTTTTAATACAATTGTCAAATGATTTCGATAATCGCACAGTAATTATCATAAGAATGATGAGCAATGTTTAATATTAAATAAATTAATGACAATTATAAAAAGCAAACAAGAGTAGACAAAAAGTTTTACTCTCAATAATGTTTCTTTACATTTTACCTTGAATTATGACCGCATGGATCCTAATAAGGTCCCTCTCGCAAAATAACATTACGAGATTAGATGCAGATTAAGATCTGAAAGTTTCAAATCAGTCCTGTGGCATTGTTATTTGTTTCGTATATTGATGTTATGAATCTCTGAAGACGAATTTCATTAAACAAACACAGAAACAGAGAGAGAGATAACTTGTAGTAAGATAGATGCAAAAGCAAGCGGAATGGAGTGCTTTCTGACAAGACACATTAAACCAACCCACCCTATTTAAAATAGGAGAAATATTTTCATATTTTCAATTCATGTTTTCATTCGTTGAATTTTTGCTCGTTATTAACCATACAACACATTCCCAGAAATGAAAATTGAGAGACCGAAAGCGTCAGATAATAATCGTAACCGGAGTTGTTATTCTAACAAATGTTTAACAAAACAGCTTCAAAGCTGCAGAAGCATGAAAGAAAAGCGGTTCGAATCTTACAATTAGTATTGTTAGGAGAAAGGACTCAAATGCCGACCACTTGCACCAACAATTACACTGACTCCATTTACAGTGATGAAGATAAACAGGAAGATAAACAGGTTTATAGAAAAATGTCTCTCAAATAAAGTATCTAATGAATGTATAATTGCATTAAGGTTAAAACAATTAGCATTCTACTAGTGTTCTTCCAGTTTTCACTGTCGGTAATGGGAAGAGATCTATAAAACTTGAAGAAATCTATAAATTTTAACACAACATCATCAAATAAAATCGCATAACAATGATGGTTTTTATGGTAGTTAGAGTGAAAAATATCTCATATCTTGAAATATATTTGTTATTTTCAAGTAATAATGGAAATTTCAAACTTTTACAACATCTTATTTCTTTTCTGAAACAGATGTATTAACTTTACAATTTTAGACATTAGATTATATTTCTGTTGAAATTATTTCAGTATTAACAATTTATGTATTTTTTGTATCCTATTTGTAATATAGACAACTATTAGTTAATTAGATTTGTGAATTCATTTCTGCAAACGAATTACAATACAATGTTTTGTAATGAAATACATGTTTGTTCAACAAAACGTATTGTGGTGCTTTTGTCAGAGCACATCGTTGTTATTTGGAACGTTAAGTCCTTAATTTCCTGTCGCTCTATTCACACGAACGACGTCACGCGTTTCGCGACTAAAGCTGGCAGACGATTGTACCATCCAAGGTGATTCATTCGCTAAATTTGGGGCTCGAAATGGCATGGAAATTTGGATATCAGGCCCGCGACCCGAAGGTCACAACATGCGCATTTCCGTTCAATTCGGACATTCTGCGGTGGTAATAATGTCGATTTTCTCTGGGTTAATACAGAATGATCGCAGTTTCATGAAGCTCGACCCGCTTTGTATATCAACTGTTTTGCCAGGAAAATTAAAGCAAATGTTATTGCATAGCGCCGAAATACAAAGGCTTAATAATATCGGAAACGCAGTTTGCCAAACGCCGTTGCATTTAAACACATGTCGTTAGTAGATTATTATACCATTCCTGTATAAAAAGTTTTAATGTTACAAGCGAAAATGTCGTTGTTTCAATTTTATTTCAGTTTTGTAAACCACTATTGAAATGTTCTGTTTATGAGATTCGAGTTAATTTAAAAGTGTACAGCATAGCTAACAAAGAGTAACCCGTTTATAATTACACTTTCCTTAATTATTGTTCTATTTCTATGGTCTACCTTCTATAAACCAAGTCGCTCTAGGCGCTTTATTATTTTAGCTCTTACCGCACTGCAAACGCCGTGTATCCAAGTATAAGCTGGATGTTTGTTTAGTAATTCAGTTTACGTAAATGCAAATTCCATGGTGAGGTGAGAAAGCGTGTTCTGAACACTAATCTGCTCAACGTATATTCCTAACTTTCCCCTTCCTACTAATTACTTCCCTCATTGTTCAACCCCCACCCTATTGTGTAGATATGGATAATTTAGGTAATATACATATAATTGATATTACACTGCTAGAGCTTGAAATCTAGATAATAATACCTATATTAATTGAATTATTTACTTGGATATTTTGCATTAAAAATTACGTAGGCAGTTTATTTAGTCAGAAATTGAAACAGGAAGTATATAAGTTAGATAAAAGCTACAGAAATTACTCCGTGGAAGAGCCATAACATCTCTTTCAGTCCTCCAATTTTCGTCCGGACTGCCATCGTTCCTGCCTTGAGATTACATACACGAAGATACAAATCGCGGGTGATATATCCAGGTTGATGGGCCACCTTAACAGAAACCCCGGGGCTCATATTGTTTGCCAGACAAATGGTAGACATGATATTCAGAGAAAATATATTTTCATATATTTCTTTAAGTCACTTAAATTTATAAAACGATTAGGATGGTAAATTTGAGAGAAAAAGAAAAAATGTCCAATTAAATCAACACCGGTGGCTGTGTGGAAAAACATTGGTCGAATGGAATCGATTTGAAATTACACTTTTAGGCCATAATTCTTTTGCAGGAACCTGAAGCGAACAGACCATTTTTAAAAAGTCCTGAAACATAAATATTGTAGGCCATTTGCTCGCTTCATTGCATCTAATGGCACTTTAAATATATTTGACTTGTGTTCGATTTCAAGTTAGCCTACCGTGAAGTTCGCTTTTAATTATTATTACTATTATGCGGTATTTAACTCCAATTTAGTTAAACACCGCAATAAAGAGTGCACGTATTTGTATTTCCCCCATTTTAAGGATACCATTTTAATATACAGAAGTGAACGTTAATTACAATAAGACTTAACAAGTAAATTAAATTCTCGCGAAGCAACATCTTGCTTGTTTTCAGTTCCAGTTATTAATACAGCGTTGCATTTGCATATAAAGGACAAAGACTGAGTTGTCTTATTAAAGAAGGTTTTAATAAAGGTGCAAAATTAAAATTATTTACCCCCTTTCATCTTCGCTTTTGCGAAACAATCAATTCATACAATTTTCTAAATACACAATAATTATAGAATTATTTTTGAGAGGGTTTAATATTTCAAAATCAATAGGGAATAATTTCCCACTTTATAGTTAGTGGAAACGTTAACGGTAAAATATAGGGTTTAGTTAAACGTTTTAATTACATAGAAACGATTTATCACCATCATGATAGGAACGTCATAATCGGACCGTTAATTTTATTATAGTTCGCACCGATTGCTGTAAATTGTCGATAATTGATGACAAATGGGCATATTCATTGAAAGGATCGACGATATGTTTCAGGATTGATGGGAAAAATGTACCTTTTTCCGTTATTAATTGGCGAAACGAGTCAGTCATAAATCATAATACATCCTGGACATCAATGCAAAATTCCTGTTAAAGCGTTTTTAACAAAACGAAAATGTCACATTAAAATTTATAGTGTTTGAGAAAAACAAATTAAAAATTTATATCAAGGTTAAGTTTCTACACAATATTAAATCCGTTGCAAGGCATGAATCGTAATGCAGATATCTCTATCATCAGTAAACTTCAAGAAAGTTCGGTAGTCTCTCTAATTCAATCTCTAGGAAGTAAGTAAGCTAATCTCAAGTGAACGCCTCTACAAAGTTTGTAATTTAGATCCGTTTCGGTTGTGAAATGAACTTTCAAGTGAAGATTGCTGAATTCAACTGCATTATTTTGATCGATTCATCCCACTACACATTTATCATCACACTTAAAGATATAAATAAATCTATATAATTAAATTTCTTTTAGGTATCCTTCTTTTCAACCAGTCCAGAGCTGAGTAACAAACAACGTTTCGAGTTTTTTACACGAACAATTCCATCTGATCGTTATCAAGTTAAAGCTATGGTAGATATTGTTCGCAAGATGGGATGGAGTTACATATCAATCATCTACGAAGAATCAAACTATGGAATAAAAGTAAGTACTTAATAGGTTGAGAAAGAACGAAAGATAGAATGTTGTGTAGATGGTAATAACATTTCGAGGTTGAAAACAGAATGAAACTTGTTAACAACGTTATTTCACGGATTTCGCCCAATTCTCGATGGGCAAACTGACAACCTTGCTTTCAATTCGAGGACAGGTTGTCTTCTCGAAATTCACCAAGTTTCAAATGGTTATTTTTACGAAATTTACAAATCCTTGATACACCCAAGTTAGTTCGACCGGAAAATGATATTCATAAAATTAACAATGTGATTTTCAACCACAGTTTTCTAAATTGATATAATTAGTTTGATGACCCTTAAAGTGATACTTATATTCTAAAATTTCAATCATCGCAAGTTTTCTCCAGCTATATCTGCATACAATCTCTAAAGACGGGTAATATTATGCATTAATGTTGTAGCATTGTATAATAAAATAGCATTCGTTGTTAATACATTACAATTAATGTCTAAATGCATATCATTAATTTTATTAACTAAAACGTTATATTATGATTTTAGCTCTAAAAATTTAATCTACAAAATAAATTTTTGGTATAAATTGATGTTTCCCCTACTAGATAGTGGGCACGCCTGAAATGAACTTTTTTAACTTTTAATAACTTCATAAAAATCCCGCAGTCTTCTGAAAAGGTAAGCAAACTTGCATTCTCATGGATTTTAGAGTTACATCACTGCATTTACGTTACGAAGGAAATCGTTGGAAAAAGTTGTATTGATAGAAAGCCAGAGGTTTGACTGCTATGACGGTTAAGGGTTTGGAAAGTAGGAATTAAAGGTAAAGGATCATTGGGTAAAAGGGACAAACATTTAAGAGCTGCAATGCGCTTTCACATAAAAAACGTTATGTGTAAAATAGTATCCACAATTTAAGAAAGAATTAAAGAAAATTTTAAAAATTGCAACATCACTATTTTTTCTAATGTTAGTAAGTGCATTCAGCCGCAGTTTTATAAATAAACTAATAGTCCAACGGCATTTTTCGCTAACTATTTATTTTAGTTTTAGAAGTAATTGAACGTTACAAGTATGAATAGCAACACGGTTTACAAAACACAACGGTTTTAATTGTTATAAAAGAGTAAATCATGGTTCCCTAAATTTTCAAACGGCGGCTTTAACAAAATTTGTGTATTGTTTTGTTACACTAACAATATCAAATGGTTTTGTTATTGAACTCGGGAAAATGAAGTAGAGTATAATGCATCATAATTAACGCCTATAAAAATAACAAAATTTATAAAATTATTATATACAATTTTTATTGTAGTAGCGAAAATTACTTTATATCAGATCAAAAGGACCGTTATTTAATTTAGCGTTGTTTATAAATTGTGCTCAATTTGGTTCTATAATGGTTTTATTATGTTTTTGAAACTAAATGTGTTACATATAATTTATATATTTATTAAATTCAGTTATTATAGTTGATGAATTAATGCATTTGTGCATGTTTTAAGTCTATAACAATTTTTCAAAAACCTTTATTTAAGCATTCCGATTCAATTGGATGACGAAAATAGGGTTTAATAAATTCATTCACTGATTTAGAATTCGTCATTTTAATACTTAATCATAAAGATATCAACTTTTAAAAGTTCGTGGGGAAAACTATTCAGAATTCAATATCAACATTTTTTCACAGATGAGTTTCTTACGTAAATATTTTTAACTATGTCATACTTTCCTTCAGCGATTGTTTTAATTCTTAAAGATTCATCTAATTTTCATATTGTCGTTTTTTTCTCGATATTTATGCATCTGATTATGAGAGCAAAAGTGAAAGAGAGCAATTTTAATGGTTCTTTGTCACTTTCAGATGGTATTTATTCTACTTATAAAACGTTCTCCTAATGACAGTGTCTCTTTTCATGTTGGTCACGAAGTGTTTCTCCCCTGCGGCGCAAATCTAAACCTCTATGCTACGCAAGTTACGAAATGCCAGCATAAATTTTCATTTACAACAATTACTCTGAGCTTTTACAAATCCTTTTCATGGGTTTAAAATTGTTACTAATGGACGCCGAATTATTCTAGAAGTTAAAAAGCGTCCGTTTATACCAAAGTGCAACCCCCTTTTGTGAACCAACTCACTGTACCAGATTCAGCATTTAATTTAGTTATTATATTATTAAAGTGTACAATATAATTTTTTGTTATTTTTATAATTTTGTGACTAGAGATTTCGGAAATTATTAACAGTTTCATCAAAAAAGTGTGAAGTATAAGTAAATTACTAACTGTATTAGATTTCTGTTGCCGGTTTCGCCCATTTAAATGGTTGATTTATGATCCTGAAATTGTTTCTGACGTATGGTTTTAACGACCTCCCTACATGCTTAGCTAATTTTATATGTCCGAGTTTCGTCAAACAAATGGGGTCATTAACAAATGAATTTTTACCGCCATCAAAAAATTAACAAAAAACATCCCAACCCAACTCACGTCAACTGCAAACAGACATATTTAAGATATATTACACTGAATTTAAAAAAAAACCCTCCTTTTATGTAAAATTTAAAATACTAAATTAAAACGAAATATTTTTACTTTATTTAATTTATTTATTTACAGGCTTTTGAAGAACTTGAAGATTTATTAGCGGAACATAATATTTGTATAGCGGTGAAAGAGAAGTTAGTAAAGGATTCTGGCGTAGCCGATGAGTCTGCCTATGACAGCATAGTGCAGAAGTTGCTGACCAAGCCAAGGGCTCGAGGTAAGTGTAGACAAGGACAAAAGATTGCATGCTGGCATGTACTTACGGGTGACGGTCAAGTGGGCAACACAATCTCCAATGTTACGTGCGCCTTAATTGAATACTAGTTTACATAATAATACTTAGACTACAACCCACGACATAAACAAGTATTCATAACTTTTACGAGCTTTCTAAAATACAAAAGCTTGAAATTACTCGGAAAATTATATTTTGTTGCCAAACTAATAGTCATTAATAACTAATTGAAACCTGACCAACTTTGAAATCAAGCATAGTCATGTGCGGGAACATTGTTATACATGTTCCGGCACGTTTAATACGTTTCAAGAGCAAAATTAGTAATACAATGTTGTTGGCAGCTTCATATCGGCTACACGGAAAACTATACACACAATAACGTTGTGTTTGTCGCCGTTCTGTTTACAGTTTTGTCACATACGTAACAATCTGGCTATTTCAATGCAAACTTGTTAACGTCAACTACTATAATGACGGCGGATCAATACTGTTGCACTATATTACAAAAGTTGGGAGTATTTTAAATCAAGATATATTGTTACTTAAAATAATACCCAATTCTACGACATATGTAAATGAATTTCAAATTAAAATACCTACCGCTCTTGTTCAGTTCACTTTAACAAAACGGCGACTTTAAATATTCCGTCCTGCTTACGTGCACGAATTTTTCTCGTTTCGCGACAACAAAGCTTTTCGCAACTAACATGTTAGTACAATTTCGAACTCAAGCGAACAAAAGAACATTTAGCTATAGTACAAGAGGGATACAATAACGTAGGAAAACGGCATGCTTTTTTACTTTCAAGCGAACAAAAGTCCACCATTTTGCTTTTGGTACTTTTTTACAACATCGATGTTCGAAATTCTATGCCTGACAACGTACATTAGCATACATCAAGCGCCAATCGTTAGCATCCGCAGTGAAAGATTTATCACAGTGACAATGAAATATTTGGGCGACGACAAAGCTCAAAATAACGGGAAGAGATGCAAAGTTTTTTAACGGATTAGTGTGCTGGACCCACATATCCGTATCGATTAGCGAGCACACGCCCTAAATTATTGTGGAACAGCGGGATGGGAACAACGGGGAACTTATTGGATCCGATCCAAGAGGATCGGAGACAAAGAAGCGAAGGGGTGTTGATTGCACTTTCAATACGGTTTTGTGATTTCAGCCAATAATTCAAACCTAATTCTATTAGAATAATCCTTTTATAAAGCTTTTTTCAGCACAGACCAAAAATTTACATCAAGACCAATATAAATTTAAAATAAAAATAAGGTTTATCATTATTATTCTGGGTGAATTCACGTCTACTTTTTGTTGGTGCCGTGATTCCACAACGCCACGTTCAATTTCACGACAGCACATTCCAAAGTAATCCCCTGGGTACTGTAAATTTATTGCTGTCAAGCTCAGCGCGATTCCCAAATTGTATTTAATACATCTACTTGACGACGTGGAATGTTTCTCTAATAGAATGATTACGCTCAATTTTCAGTGAAATTTTAACGGTTTTCATCTAATTTTCTATTTAAAATAAAAAATTTTACTTTTCTAATTAATAAATAGTAATCAGGAAGTAAAGCGGTTTCACGAGCTTACCCCCAGTCAGCTCAAAGTTGTGTTTTAGTAATTTAAAGTCTCTTGACGGTAGGGAAGTTTACTTTGTATTCGAGTAAAGTTACTTGTCACGGAATTAGTTACACGATTGTCTCAACTTATACAAAATGATGTATACGTTATGTTAACTTATATGCTGTACAAAACTTCCGTCTTCAAAACAATGTTAGACTTATATATGTTAATTTGTATATTTTTAGTTATATAATGTTAAATTGATCCCTATGATTTTTCAAATAATGATAATTATGGTATAAGTGTAAAATATTCTTTTTATATCTCGAAAATGAAACACAAATATAACAAACAATATTATAACTTAATAACAACTTATATCAATAATCGTATATAATGCATCAACATTATGTTGTATAATATACACATATATAATCAGTTCAGTCTGATTTCAATCAGAGTAAAACCTCAATACAATGAACATCGTTAGAATAGATTTTGAATATCTGTATACTTCTCCCATGTCTTTTTTTGATGATCTGCAACGCCTCAATAACACAATCAATAGACATATCCAAAACCCCAATACGATACAAATTGGAGGTCGCTGAAAAGTCGATCCAACATGTCATGCAGTTTAAATACTTTAGAGTCGACATATCAAGCAAAATAACACCAAACATGTAGTGAAATCATAGGCAATCAAAGCTGCAGTAATATCTGGTTGCCTACGAGATATCATATGCCGGAACAAACACATTACGGTAAAAAGCAAGTAATAAAACCTGTGTAAAACCACTGCTAACATACGCAGCTTAGACAAGAGCCGAAACATCTGCGGTGCTCAACATTTTAGAAGAGAGACCTGGGTACTCTTCTAAAAAGGTGACTGCCATATTCCATCGAAATGTTTTGTAAGTCAATGTTGCCAAGGTTTCCAACTCCGGAAGGTTGTCAAGATTAAGAGTGGAACGTTTGGCACTATATATGCCAATAAGGTGACTGAGGAAGGGCTTCTTCAATGCAACTCTTGCAGCTCCATCGCCACAAGCAAGCACTCCTCGTCTTTCTCCCTTCATTTTTTAAGTGCTACCGTAGACTCTCTGTACAATACATGCTGGTCAATATTAGTTAGGCAGTTTCTGCTCAATCTGTTTATTCTTCATTGTTACTGGTAGTCTAATTACAGTATGTACGTTTATGCTAATGGTATATGCACAGTGCTCTATATTATGTGCGTTTTATTTTCATTGATTACCCTATTCACCTCTACGACTACTGAAAACTACATTTTCGCAATTAATGCAATTAACACTTTCAATTTGAGCCTTGTCAACTTAACGTGAGTCTGTAGTTTTAACTGTAAGCTGATATCTAGTGGGAACATTACATGACAGCGTCTACAGCATGGTACTTATGATATTCTACACTTCAAATCTTTGTTAACAAACAACACTACTCCGATGATATTCAGCTACTTGAAATTAGCTAAATTTATTAGCATTTTCATCTGTCAACGTCTGTGGTAAATGTGTGTGATAATAAAATTGCTTTTTCAAGAAGCATTAACAGTGCATTAACGAAGCACATATAAAAATACGTAGTACCAAATAGCATTAAAGTCGATGAAACACATTTTTGACACATCTCCCGTTAAAATAGAACTTTTTTTTTGAGATAAGATGTCGATGACCATAAAAAAACAAACTATAAAAGCCTCACGTCATTATGGTAACCGCGTCAGCCTTACATTGTTTTTCGAATATCCCAGGGATCAAGATTTCGTTCAAACACTCAAACGAAAGCTGTAAATCGTGGCTGTAAAGACAGCACTGAAACTGGTCATAAAGTTGAAGGAAAACGAAAAAGGAAAGAGATGGGTGGATGGAAATTGAGAAAATGTACAATATCCTTATCGAAATTTTCATTCCATTCAGTTTCCTTATTTAAATTTCTAATGGATTTTCACAAAGTGATCGTTTTCCTTATAAATTTTGTTATTATACGCATTTGTTAAAAATGCTGCGTTGCACTTATAAAGCGTATATAGGATATCTTTGTGGAAAAATATGCCGGTTGGCCAAATATTGCCTTCCGGGTTTCGTACAATAAATAATTCCCCGGCGAAGAAGAGCTGGAGAATGCGCCGCGGCATGCAAAGAATTTATGAATGCTCCACACATACAATAGAAATACGATAGCTGATATTAATAATTCTCCTTGTATAAAACGCTGCTGTAACCACAGAAAGAAGCCATTCGGCTTGTCAACTGCAGCGCCAAATTTCTTCCTTGAATTTTTATGGGGAGTAAAAAATTTAGTACGCGACTTTGCTTTAACTCGGGGGCCGAGACTTCACGAACCGCACAAACAGAATATTTTTATAACGCGTCGTTTCGGCAAAAGCAAGAACACGACAAGGCTTTTTAGGATTGGAATTATTAAAATGGTGGTAGACGCATGGTACTTTTAACAAGCATGCTTCTCATTCCTTTATAGCTTTTTCGCATGAGTTTTAATAAAGATCTTTATTGCATCATCCACCAGCGCGTAGGGATACTTTATAGCTTTCTTTATAACGTTTTCAGATGCTTGCAATAAAGTGAGATAGAATTATTTTTCACTACGCTAAGACATCACTAAAATATTATTGTTATTGAAATATGTAATATTCATAGTCAGACATAACTCATATCTTTGGTTTGTGGGCGATTAGACAAATTATTCCACTATGATAATTTGTTTGACAAGTTTACCCCTCAAGTACCAAGCTTATAATAATTCGATTTGTAAGTTCGGGTGGGGACTGAATTTGGGGGTCTTATAGCACCGTTGGGATTATAGTAATTAATTCAAAATGGTTGAGAGGTGGTTGCGAGAATTTGAAAATACATTAGGTTCCTCTACAATACGGAAACGTTTAATTTTATTTATTTATTCCCAGGTGCTATAATTTTTGGATCAGATCAAGAAGTTGCTGGTGTTATGAGAGCTGTAAGAAGAAGTAATGCTACAGGGAGCTTTTCTTGGATTGGATCCGATGGATGGAGTGCACGATCTCTAGTTTCAGATGGTAATGAAGCCGAAGTGGAAGGCACGCTTTCAGTGCAACCACAAGCCAACTCTGTCGGTGGATTTGAAGAGTACTTCCTAAATTTAAACGTGGAGAACAATCGACGCAATCCGTGGTTCGTAGGTAAGATAAATCCCTAAATTTATTCTAAAGCAATTAATTTCCATGAATTTCTTTAATACCACCGCAATATAATAATTCGACAAATTAGTGGGGAACTCGTGGTCTCCATGTAAGGCTATCGCTTCAAGTGTTATCTCTGATCATAATTTAAACGAACTCACTGCGAGGATTACTCCCACGAGAGGAAGCTAACCCGCCACCACCACTTTCGTGCCAACAAAATCAATTTTAAAGCGAACCAACTTCGGCTAACACCGTGAGGCAGAATTTAATAAAAGTTTACGTTATTGTTTTCATCATTTAGGCTTACTTACTCAATATAATATTAAGTCGGTAGGATTTTGTAGATTTTACATGAATTCTTGTCACCACCACGATTTCTAATTTATTTTAAAATTCCTCTGGAATCTATTGTATTAGAAAAGTTTTAATTAATATCGTTTTGATCAACTCGTTTTAAGTAACAAAACCAATTTCTATCATCAATAAGAAAGTTTTAAGAAATCTTTAAAGTTGTGAGACAATCTGTCACCACGTTGAACTTTGTTATGTAAATTAATTCAGCTTACACATGACCCAACGTTGTACCTGCCAATTTAGTAGACAAGTGCGATTTTCTCAATTACCTTAATGGACAAGAACGTGAAACATTGAAACATGGAACAACAACGTAATCTAGAATTTAATCAAATCAAGTCGAGATTTTAACTCTGAATACAATTTATTACTATGGAATGAAAATTTATGATAAATTTACTATTGCACGTTCCATCTGAAATGTTATAAACTAGTATTTTTGGGGAACAGGTACAATATGTTCCTAATGCATCAATAAATCGTAATTTAGAATTATTTCATATATATCGTTGGATATCCCTCATTGAATAGCTGTTCTTCAGTACATCTTATAGGAAACTCTCTTCTTTCTTTTGGTTTTCTTAATCACATATCCTCTCTGCTCGCTGAAATAAGGCTTGAATCACGGAGTTTTCTGTTGTGGGTGGTGATGGGATGAAGCCTGCAGGTATCTTTTTATACGTCTTCTTTCGATATACTCCCAGTTCCATGCCCCCATCTGTCTTCCTAGTCACCAACACATCCAAGTATGGTAACTATTTTGCAGTTTTCCATGGTAAATTTTATCATGGAGTGCTGTGAGTTTAGGTAATCTAGAAATTCCTGGAGTCGCTCTTTTCCGTGTTGCCAGATCACGAAAGTGTCATCAACGTAACGGAGCCATAGCTTCGGTTTCCACCCACTTTTCTTTAACGATTCCACTTCAAACATCTCCATTTAAAAATTTGCCATCACAGGTGATAGAGGTGACCCCATGGCTGTCCCTTCACATTGCTCGTAGTATTCTCCTTTCCAGCTGAAATATGTCGATGATAGGCAGTACTCCACTAGTTCTGAAACATCTTTCGGCAAACCCTCCGGGATGAGTTTCTGGCCAAGACCACCCACAGTTTCTTTGACTGGTACTCTGGTGAATAGAGATTCCACGTCGAAACTTACCAAGATATCCTGGGGGTGTACTTCTTCATACTCCTGATTGATTCTACAAAATGTGTGAAATCTCTGACATATGAATCTGTTTTACCTGTAAAAGGCGACAGATTCTTGGCAAGGTGTTTTGCTAGTTGCTACAAATCTTACTTCAACGATGCAAAGGTTTAATTGTGGTTCGTGTAACTTTTACTTCTACCATATAGGTCGCAATATAAAAAAGGTTGAAAACCGCTGCTTTAATCTGTATCAGTTCATCTGCCTTTAACCTAATTAAGTATAGCAATCTATTAGAGCGCATTGTAAATTTATACCCCGTCAACGTCATGAGGTATGGAAGATAATGCATTGCTCTAAAACGATCTAACCATCCATCATTGCAAATGGAATAAAGACCCAATAATTGCTAACAATCAACCCGATAATTTTTAATAATTTACGATAGAATCGAACGTACGGTCTCGGAGGGCGCGGCGAAATGAAGTGAGTGGAGAATTTGTTATTTCACGGTCGACCGAATCGATATCGTAAACTGTTTGTCCTGTTTTGTCCTTGTCTGTGATCTAAACATCCCCTCTCCTTTGCGACAACAGTTCGTTAGTTCCATTGTTCTGGATTGTACGTGTAGCAATTTTCCTGTCGTCATCTTCATCGCCATAACACAACTCAAAGCGGAAAGGAACGTGCCGCATAAGCAGCAAATCGCGCAGCCACGTTGTAATCACTTCCTGTCGACATTGAACAGCTGCAATCACACACACACAGAAATTTGATGATTTCCGTGCCTTTTGCACGGAAATCGCTTTGATGGATTGGGGTTGTATATGGAATGGTTGGCCGAATCAATTCTTCGGCGATTCACAGCGCCACCTACATTGTAGGTTGAAGTCATTCTTTTCCTCGTTCAAAATGGAACGTAAAATTGTTAATGTCCCGATATTATAGAGTATATCGCCGCTTGAATAACAAGTACTGCAATAAAAACGTGTATTCACGAAGCGAGTACTTCATATAAGGACATAACTGAATCATAACTGAATTTAATTAGAAATTATAGTTAATTTTTTTTTTGTTTCAGAATTTTGGGAACATCATTTTCAATGTCGATACCCCAACAGTTCAAGAACACCTTACAATCAAAAGCACACCAAAACTTGCACGGGAAAAGAAAAGCTGACAAAACAAAATACTGTTTTTGAAGATCAACTTCAATTTGTATCTGATGCTGTTATGGCTTTCGCATATGCTATAAGGTATGTTAATTTACTAAACAAATATGAAGTGTTTTATAAATCCCTGTCACAATCTAAGTTTTACATTGCCAAGTTATCCCATTCTTTAAAACATTCGCTACTTTACTCATATATCCAGATGCGCGCATCATTCATTTTAATGGATCGTACCATTTGCGAATAGAACTATTCAGGTCAACTTCAATTGTAACGAATGGATCTAAGAGGCACTTTAAACCCCTCAATTTATGATTCTAAAATATGTCGATCTTGAAACTACATTTAATCCATATAAATCTCCATAAAAATTGTATGCATCATAAAAAACAACAATTATATACAACTTTCTTCGTTATTCTTTTCAGAGATATGCATAAAGAGTTGTGCCATGGACGACCAAGTCTTTGTGATGCAATGAAACCAACTAAAGGAACTGAGCTTTTAAAGTTTTTAAGAAATGTTACTTTTGAGGGTAGGTATTTTTTTTATTAATACAGTATTTATTCGGACACCGTTAAGTTTAGTCTACGTGGCTTTATATTTATACCAAAGACGGTAGAATCTAAGAAGATTGCTACATCTCGAGGACAGGTGAACAGCTCTAAGGCCCGTTCGTGACGTCAGCGCTGAATAATAAATAAAACTAGAACTAACACTAGATCTGAGCTAAAAAGTTTCGGGCGACTTTAGACGTTTTAGTTCAATAAAAATATACAACAATCTAGCGCCGAATAACAATTAAAACTAGAACTACCTGTCCTTGATTAATACATCGTATAGGCAACTCGGGGAATACCCGGTCTGTTATACCGAGGTTTTACTGTATTTAATATTTATGACTGAAAAAACTTGTATAATTAATATGTACTTGCTATGAAAAAGTTGGATGGATATAAAGCTGAGTCTAAAAGCATAAGCTTTTGAAAGCCCCTTAATTTTTTTTTATAACTAATCAAAAATTTAAGTTTTAAAGTTTTCCCAATAACGCAACATATGGTTACGATAGACGAAAACCGACAACATTGCAACTTTGTTTGGAAAAGTTTTAATGAAGCGGATGTATCCTTATACAGATACAGGCATACCTTAAAGTTTGAAAATTGCGTTTTTCCGCTTTTAACGGATACTTATTCGATACTTTACCTAAAACTAAATTCATTTGCAAAAGTACACTTTAAACGAGAGGAAAGTAATGAGGAACATTTTTTTAGTTAAAAAGTAGTAACCTTTTTAATTTTTATCCCCAGGTCTTAGTGGTGATCAATTTCGCTTCGATGGAAATGGAGATGGTCCAGCGAGATACAACATCATCCATTTTAAGCAAGTATCAAGTAGAAAATACCGTTGGGTAAGAGTAGGCGAGTATATAGAAGGAACTTTAAGACTTAACATGTCAGGTAAGAACTATTTGAATTGTATTATATGTTATAAAATGATTTCTATTTCGTTTTGAATCATTTTTACCGCGAAACGAATAAATTACGATTTACCCTTTAACGAAACGGCGCGATTAAAACTCTATTAGCGGGCGAAAAGGGATGATAGCGTTTCTCAACCTAATGCATATTCAAGTACAACGTCTGCAATTGACAGAGTCACTGAGTAGTGGCGCGAAGCGAATGGAAAATTAATTGTGCAGAAATTGAATCATTTAGTTTTTGAGTTTATAACGGTATTGATAACCCACTTTGCGTACACAACGATTTTCGAAGTGCATATCAGGTGGAGGATAAGTGGATGACGCTAACAAGGTATCGATTTACTAATCTCCTCTTACAATGATATTAATGTCAAGTCTTGTAAAGTATCTAACATAAACGCTATTACTAACATTCAAGGAAGCTATTTTTTATTTTAAAATTAACGACACGCAAATAGTACATTAAAATATCATAATGAATTCATTGTGGAAATTACAATATGATATCAATAATTGCAATCTAAAACTTGTAAGTCCATTAAAAACATTAAGATACCCCGACGAAAATAACTCCTCAAAAGTGAATTAACGGTTTCTAGTTTCAAGAAACTCTCTCATCCCTTTTCAGAGGTCCAGTTCAAACTGGGTCATCCGAAACTCCCAGAATCGGTGTGCAGTTTACCCTGCGAACAAGGTCAAGCAAAAAAGTACGTGGAAGGAGAAAGTTGCTGCTGGCACTGCTTCAACTGTACCCAGTACCAGGTTTGTGTGAACCAACTTTTCCACTATCCACCATCAACAAACTGTTTTCATGTCTTTGCTCATGATTTATTACCACTAACGCGTTCGCTTTTTTTCCATTGAAACATCCACCGTTCCTTGTAAACTTACTTTATGTTGTCATCACTCATATCAAAAGACGTCGTTAGTGATTACAACGAAATGATGATTTTATACACCAAAATCTTACCATCGTAATAATATTTTTAAAACACATTTTTGTCGACCCATTTTCTTCGGTTACTGAATTTATGGTGGCAATAATAGGCTAATGTAGTGTTAAAACGGTGGTCGGTGAAAAGATCAAGCATCCAAAGTAAATTAAAATCGCAGAAGCGTAAAAATTCGCGATCAAACAACTTTCGAGGGCACTAACGTGTATTAAAGTGGAAAATAGAGTTTCACCCCGTGATTAATCGGCTCGCGGCTATTCGATGCGATGTTCTACGCGACTTTTAATTATAATGCGAATTGAAATTTCAATCCGGGTCGTAGCGAGAGTGGTGTATCGAGCAAATTTAATGTGGCCAAACCTAAATGATTCAAACAATTTTACGAGAGCAATGTATGTTAAATTTAGTGGAATTTAGTACGTAATGTTGACGAAATTTATTTAAGATCAAGTGTTAGTTCTAGTTTCAGTTCAATAAAAATGTACAACGTAGTGATATCTAGTGCTAACTAGGGCTGCCTAGCACTGTCACTAGAACTAACACTAGACCTATAACTAGAAACATTCGGATTTAGCCGTACGTCCCTTATGACGGCTAAACCCGAATGTTTCTAGTTCTGGATCTAGGGTTGGTTATGTTTTTATTTCAAGAAAAATATGTAATATAGCAATATATAGTGCTAACTAGCACTACCTCGCACTGTCACTAGAACTAACACTAGACCTATAACTAGAAGCATTCGGATTTAGCCATACGTCCCTTAAGACGGCTAAACCCGAATATTTCTAGTTCTAGGTCTAGTGTTACTTCTAATAGTAGTGTTAGTTCAAGTTTTAGTTTTTTTAAAAAGTTTTCATCTCGTACGACTTTTAATTATAATGCGAATTGAAATTTCATTCCTGGTCGTAGCGAGAGTGGTGTATCGATCAAATTTAATGTGGCTAAACCTAAATGATTCAAACAATTTTACGAGTGCAATGTACGTTAAATTTAGTGGAGTTTAGTACGTAATATTGACGAAATTTATTTAAATAGGCAGTAACCGCGATAGTTAAACGTAAAATAAAGTTTAACGGAACAGTATGCTCTATAAACATAAGCGCAATGGTGACAGTTCCGGGTTATCACAGTCGCAAGCAAATGTTGTTAAATAAATATTTTATTCCATTTAAACGAAATGCTTAAATTTAACACTAAATTACTAAAGTAAAAAATAAATAAATTCGGGTTTTTGTTTTAATTTCTTTCAACTTAATTACGATATTTAAATAAGATTGAAATTCATTTAAGCTGGGGTTGAAACCAGATGTTCTCAATCGCGGAAGGCATCGGTTAACGCCTCCTTTGATACAGCACGCATCGTGTCGTGCACAGGCATACATCGTCAACTCTGAAATTGGAATCGGTCCTACTTTAACAAGCTAGTTTCCAACTAGAATACGTACTTGAGCCAATCGAATTAGTTTCCGTAGATGACGTCCTACAGGAACTAATGAAATCTCGCTTAATTACCGCCTTGAGCAGCTTTCGTTGCGCGCCGTTAGCCTCAAATAAAAAGTTTCCTAATTGATCTCTACTGAAAAGAAGATTATAGTTTCCCAATTAATTCCTCGTTTTGTTGGTTCAGATAAGGAATCCTACAGATGAAACTCAGTGTAAACCATGTCCTCGGGGCACTGTACCGAATCCGTTGCATACTCGCTGCATGGATATCCCAGAGGAGTATTTACGACCAGATAGTGGATGGGCCATCGGCGCTATGGCCTTTAGTTCTACTGGAATTCTGATTACTATGTTCGTAGCTGGCGTATTCATCAAACACAACGACACACCTGTCGTCAGAGCTTCAGGGAGGGAATTAAGCTACGTGCTACTTGCAGGAGTGTTCATGTGCTATTCAGTCACATTTGCACTTGTTCTTCGACCTAATGATGTTCTTTGTGGTATACAAAGGTAATAATAGATGTTTAAAAAAATGTTACGTCTAAAATAGTTAAAACGTTATGTGCTAGTTACAAATAGATATAAAATAGATGTAGATAATAAATTATAATATTAAATATAAAACGTAACGGTTCTATAGAATATAAAATATATGATATCCCATAAAACGATTTGAATACGTCTAGTAAATATGTTAGCATATTTGAATATCAACGAACCTGTAACGAAATCGTTTATATTTACAGTTTTTCATATTTCAATTTTTATGTACGTTATAGATTCGGTGCTGGGTTTTGTTTTACTGTTGTATACGGAGCCCTACTTACAAAAACTAACAGGATTTCAAGAATTTTCAACGCAGGGAAACGATCAGCAAAAAGACCTAGCTTCATTTCTCCGAGATCTCAGTTAATAATATGCTCTGGACTAATTGGGATACAGGTAACACATTTTTATTAAAATATTTTAAAATGATTTTTGACAAGTACCTATTTATATAATAGATTAGTAATCTAGTATGAATATATCGTTTAAATTTACCACCACCTATACGCGTTTATGACCGCGCCAGCAAAACCGTGCGTAATCGAATCACAGGTCAATTTACTGCAACCACCGGGGGAGTTTAATTGTCAGATCACTGCGGAAATCGCTAACGATCATTTCCCATCACCATTCGGGATATTTCGTAAGTGGTTGATCCCTGTGACCAAAAATTACGCATAAACATTTTGAAGGGAATCAAATAGCAACGCGATTAGAGAAACATTAATTGGATGCAGTATTTCATTAAAGTCAAATGCTGAGGTGGTAACCTTTTCCTGAAATATTTCAAACCTATTTAATGCAGTAACTGCGGTATTTATAACAAGAAATAACGAAGAAAACGTATACTTAACACAAACTTTTATAAAAAACACAGATTGTGACTTCTACGCCTGATCTCACTAATACTGCAAGTGGAGATATATTGCTTCAAGAACAAATACCCTTAAGCGTGTATATTTGTAACAATAAGAAATATTAATAAAGAAACTCGTATACCCGCTGACGCGCCCCCGGAAAGTTAATGTACAAGATTCGGTTAATAAATCGAACTTTAGAAATGAAAGAGCGTCCGCTGAGTTTGATATCCACTTTTGCAACGAGAACCCGTTCGCCGTCAGTGCTAGACTTAATTGAAAAATAACTTCTTGTACTTTATCGATATCATCCCCGTGGGAAAATATGTCATCTGCGGAAATTTCGCGTTGAGGAATTCCACTCCTAAAGGTTGACTTTAAGAATATACAGCTGTGACCGAATTTTCTTTTAATTCTTAGTTAGTGATAACTCCATACGATACGCTGCAACGAATGATTATCTTCGTAAACCCAAATTTGTCGATACATTTCACATACTGTCAATTTTTTAATGACAACCGAACTAAAAAAACTCCCATTATTTTTGAGTAAATATGAACGCACACTTTCGACACTTGACTGACGTGAATAAATTGATGAATTATTTTTCTAATTTCAAATTCGCCGAATCTGATCAATAAATTCAGTTGTGCAGTGTTAGTTGGAATATAATTCTGTACAGTAAAATGGGAAAATCAACCCGCATGATTGATCAAAGAATTGGATTAAATTTTTAAAAAGTAACTAAAATAAATAATCCAGGTTTTTGCGATGAGATACTATTTCGTTGAATATATGCAGGAAACGGGTACACTCGATGACCGCATTTATTTCCAAAATACAACAGGCAAAAAAACGTAATAAAACTCGAAACCACTGTATTGCTTTGTCTGACAGTTTATTCGATTACTGTGATAAAGATACCCCACTAAGTTTGCAAGATGATGACACATTATTATATGTATTGAAAAACTCATGTTTAATTTTACTAAATCGCGTAAGATTTGTTATCTGACTCCGTCTTCGTTAGCTAGCATTGGTACTGTCACCCTATTCAAGGCTTTTAAAAATTTCTATTTTTTCCAATGTTAAAACGACCGTTTTTACTACGATTCTAAATACTGCAGCGATGGCAAGGCGATACCACTACAGTACATATAAAATGATAAGGTCATCATACGTCTGGATTTTTTCAGATTTGTACTAGTTTCGAGTGCACCCAGGGATCGTTCGGGCGTTTTTTTTCCAATTTATCCGTTTTCATTTCCGATACATAACAGTATTGTTTTTTCGGAAAAAATAGGCATTATTATCTTTCAATTCAGCTTGAAAAGTGTGCAATATTTTACTTGATATGATTGTGATAATTGTTTCCAATTTGAAAACTTGCGTTATTAGTGTTAAGCTATCCTTTATAATTTCCTACTTAACAGATCCAAAATACTTGTGCAATCTTCTAAGTTCTGCAGAAATTAAGCTTATCATCTTCTTCTTATCGAAAGCCATATCACTTGTTATGACGCTTCGTCGTTGCTGGTTCCGCTTCTTCTGTGATATTGGGGTCCAGCTGTCTTTCCATCGCTTTGAAGGTCTTCCTCTCCGTCTTTTTGTGTAAGTTTTGCCACAGTAATTTAATGAAATAAATGTAAGCAAAATTAGAATAAATACAATCCTTCCCTGATTTGCTATGATTAATCGAGTTTCTAGCTTATTTTCCTTCGGTTACTTTTTGGAATGAATTGTGCAACTTTTGCTCTTTAAACTTGCAAAATATAGTAAAGATCTTTTCATCTAGAAATTAATGAGCGAACGGAGCAAGACGACCATGCTACAAATACAATAATAATATTTTCGTTTAAGTAAGTTTATATGATCGATCATTTTTTCAAATGTGCAAACGAAAAGGTAAATGTAGATGTAAAATTATACAATAAATGCCATCCTTATCAATTTAAATTTAGCTCCCATAACAATTTCTAGCTGAATTACAAATATAATAGAAATTTCACAAATGAACATAAGATCGCCCATTTTCACAGTTATTCTGCTGTAGAACTGTTACAGTAATTATCAAGTTTAATTAGAGTAGTGTGTAATAATTCAATTATTTTTATTTATTTTTTTATGGCAGATATAACTCCGTAATTCATTCATATCCGAAATTAAATTTATTACCTCGTAGGGTATACATAAAATGTATGTATGAATGTATTAATAATTTTATTTCTTTTTGTTCGTTTGAATTTATTTAGTTTAATGAATTTAAAATAATATATCTTTATTACAAATTTTAATTTATTTTATACCGCGCTGTTTTAAGCAATTCCTATTTCTCATAAATTTAGTAACGTAACTAACTTTCGTTCCATGTAACGACTCGCCAAAGCGTGAACACCTGCGAGAAACAAAGAACACTTTCCCTCGGCGGTTTTCACCCTCGGTGTAACGAAACTCTGCCTGAATACCCATGTATTCCAAAGGCGTCAGCTACCCAACACTTTCCTGACAAACTCATCTACCGGCTGCAACCCTACGAGACCGCATAAATAATAAAACTAGGGTTCGTTTATTACTTTACTTTCACGCCAATGCCAACCGCACCTGTACGTATACAATAGGGTAAGCTAAGCCAGTTTCCTGAAGGCGATCTGGGCAGTTTTCAACAATCATAAGCGTAATCGTCCATTACGTTCTCGGCGACTTCTTTGATGGTCGTCTAAAGGGGTAGCTTTTTGAAATGTCGTCAGCACGTTTCAACTGAAACGGAGGAACTTTATTATATCTTAAAAATATTTTTATTTTTTTGTATTTTATTTAGACATGAAAAAAAAGTTAATACACCATTACAAAAGAATTATGTATTCATAAAATATCCATTACATGGGGTGGTTTTATTTAAAAGCCAGTTCGGGTCATAAACCGAACACGCTGCGTATACTTTGTAACTTTTTAGGGGATGGTAATCGCCTGATAGTAAACTCCTTTTTATAGGTATTGATAAACGGAGTATGGATGGTGATTTCACCAGCTAGAGCCATTCACCATTATCCTACCAAGGATGACAACCTCCTTGTGTGCTCTTCTTCCATAGACGCTTCATATATGATAGCATTCATGTATCCCATATTTTTGATTATAATATGCACAATATACGCAGTTCTTACAAGAAAAATTCCAGAAGCTTTCAACGAATCTAAACATATCGGTGAGCTATTAAATAAGTTGTAAATTCCTTTTATTTGCATCCGTATTTATTTAGGGTTTGCAATGTACACAACGTGTGTTATTTGGTTGGCATTCGTCCCACTTTACTTCGGTACTGCAAATAACGTCGCCGTAAGAATAACGAGCATGTCCGTTACAATAAGTCTATCTGCTTACGTGACATTAGCATGTCTCTTTGGCCCAAAGGTAAACCGATTCGGGACTCATCAACATTCCATCTAAACGACCTTTTACTTTCTCTTTCTTAGTTATACATTATCCTTATCCGACCGGAAAGAAACGTCAGACAAAGTATGATGCCGTTAAGATATTCTGCGATCAGCAAAACAACTGGAACGACAGGTTCCGGTAGTATGATGGCAACTGTTATGGTAACTGCTGCAACTTGCAATCAAAAACAGCAGATCCAGAAGCACGTTCCACCTGTAACCAAGGAAGAAGTTCGATTTGGTAATTAATCTATTTTATCTGCACTATTAATCTAATAAATATTTATGACTTAGATGAAAAACCAAAGATTGAAACAAAAGAGTTTGGAACGCAGACGATCCCATCACCTGACACCAACCACACCGTTTACAGTTCTCAAGATCATCTACAGAAGCTCAACAACAACTGTAACGTCGGTAACGGTCCCTTGGCCATCATAGCCAAGGATATCCAGTTATAGCAGGATGTGCAAAATACCGATGCAAATAGGCAATCGGTTGAAGTGTAAACGTATACGTAAAAGATTAGTGTAATTATTATAGTATTTATAGTGTTTGTGTAAATAAGATTTTTAATACTCAAACTGATACAGGGTAATTAATAATTACATTACAGTTTAACCGCAAACATTTCTCGTATAATTTTTTATGGTGCTGTGAATATTAAACTAAGTGATAAATACGTGTGGGGGAGGGACTACTTGATTCTAGATTTAAAGGTACGTATTCAAAATACTTCTTTAACAATGTAAGATTAAGAAATACTCTTGCGTCGTCGTCATTGTATAAATGTGAGAATTAAAATTAAACAAACAGTACATAGATATTAAATACAGCGTTTAAAATTGCCATTATAAAACTTCGTAGATTAATCTTAGTTCTCCTCATTTTGTGAACGCGTTAAATGTAAACATTTTAAAAGACTTATATTTAACTCATTCGGAATACTTAATAATTTTATACATATCGTAGAAAGATACTTTGAATTAAGATTGTACATATTCTTCCATTACTAGTATCGTTCTTTGATACAATTTTGTAATTCGTTAATTGCGATGTTTCGTTACCGTTTTACCTCTACGTACAAGCTCGTTAAGCTGAGATAATTGGGTACATATTGTAAAGTAAGAAGCTGAAGGTTGTGTGCATTATCCAATATAATGAGCCCACGGAATTTGCACGCAACCCTTAAACGTCATTATCGACGCAAAGGCAGGATTGCGTTGACAATGCAGCTGTTATTAAAATACTCGTTGTATTATATTAGTGATGCTATATTCTTTTTTATGTGAAAGTTATAACAGTCCGAAATGTACCTGTACTTAATGTTCTACTGTTATTATATACATTACAGGGGATCTAATAAATGATAACATACGTAGATTGTTTCTTTTTAACAAAAAAAACCTTTAAGAAATCGAATTCTCAATGAGTAAATATTAAAATAAGGTAAGTTTGTATTTTTCAATGAATAATGTTAATCAAAAATATGCTTATTCAAAAATTTCCATCACGTTTACATTCATTAGCATAGACGTGATGTTCTATTCAATGAAAACCATGGAGTGCAGTAGGCCTAATCCTGCCTTTATCTAGATGTCCAATAAATCGTGCCTAGCAGATGGATCTGACTATTTAATCTGGAATATCAATTCCGCTGGCCGTGCAAACTCAATTCACCGGCAGCGTTTCAGGTTAATCGGTACGATCTCGGCGTGGCCTCTGCACGCCCATTTTCAAACACCGCTCATGTTTCATTCTAACAGGGGTCGTTGAAGTTCAACAGTTCATTGAAGCAAACTAGAAATTTTACCAATGACGAATGAGCTCCCGCAATAAAATTGTTGTTTCAAATTTTCGGTCGAACAAACTTTATCTAGCAAAAAGTTGACCGTGACAGCCACTCCACATAAATCTGTTCCATTATGTATAAAACGTTACCTTGAAAAGCACTTTATATTGTTATCTCGTCACTGCTATAAGTCGAGACATCTGAATTATTTAGAACCACAAAACCGTGTATGTAGGCCATACTTGCTGCTCAAAACGAAGTCTATTCCATCCTACGTGTCCAACAAGTTCCATAAAATTTCTTTTAATACGATAAATTAACAAAAACTTTTTCCAACTATTCGATTTATGAACGTTATGAATATTTCAGCATGTTGAGACAGCTTCATTTAAAAAAAATATAAATCAAATTCTATAGGCAACGCTTTTCAGCACGCGAAAAGAACAACTGTAATTAATAGCAAATTTAATTTTAGCTCCACAACAGTCACGTAACACTCGTCGGATGGTGCAACTTTTGCAAAGTGTAATGCGTTTGTTCTGTTGTTCAATTAATAGCATAATCTCATTTGAGTGACCCAGTTAAAGGCGTTGTAAACAGTGTTTCAACTAATGTGTTCTAGCACTTACTCTGTAATAAACATAGATCTGAGTCAGTATTAGGTACGAAGTTTTCATTGATTAAACGTAATTACACATAACTAGAAATAGTTTTAGTACAGTAACGATAAATTGAAATAATAAAATTAGTTTTTGTTATATTCATTTTCTTGTTCCCTTTTCTCTCCTTCAATGTGTTTCATTAGTTAGTTATTTTATTATTCCACAATTATAAAGCTAACAAAGATAATGGATAAGAATCTAGATATAAGTTTGATTTTTATATAGAATCTTTACTTTGGCAGTGATGCTGTTTTTAATTTACTAATTTTTTTCAGGCCAATAAGACACTAACTCCTTTAAAACAGAAGCAACAAATTTTGTGCCATTATTACAATTCAAAGCTCCAATGATAAAAAAGATATACATCAAATGATAAATCAGACATCATAATAAATGTTTTGAGGAAAATTTGATACAATAAATACAATGCTACGTAAATAAGATTTTCGAGTTAAAGGTCAATATGCTTCTTGCCTAAAAATTCATGACATGTTTTATTACCAAGAAAATTCCGCTGGGTAGCTACCTACCCTTTTAACGAAAAAATTGCGTTAATGGAGATCTGTTTAACCCTTTCACATTTTTTCAATGTTTGGCATTTCCCCCTACGCGACCAGAAATTACGTTGAAATTTCCAGAATAAATATTTCAGAAAATGAAAAATTCTCTTGTTTAATAACTGTTTATAAAAATATATTTATGTTCGTTATACATCAAATATAGCGGTTTCACTGAACTCAATAAAGTCTCAAGTATTAATAAACCAGTGGAATCTCTAATATTATACTTGTAGAACAAAAGAAGCAATTTAATTGAAACAAGACTGTATTTGCATAAAGTATTTACCGTTGATACGAACGCGGCGATTGTTCAAATGCAGCATAGAATCGGCACTGTTGCGGGTATAATAGAGTACTTGGAGAAGGCGAAATTGCGAATGTCCCGGCCGACGTTTCGTACTCCACGCACTTCCATTAATTCATTGCCGACTACAAAACTGCCTTGAATAATTACAAAACTTCCGACTGGAATAAAGATCTCATTTATTCGCTGTCAAGAACCTCAACTTTTATTTGATTCTCCCTCTACAAATTTTAAGTTTTTGATAATTTACTGCCATGTAATTTTATAACTCAATCAATTTTAACCACATTTCATAAAGGATTTTTACTAAATGATTCTAAAAGAAACCAAAGAAATCTGGAAAAATTTAACTTAAACTCTGGATGGAATATAATGATTCATTCGAAAGAATGGACGCATTAAGGTTTAATGGAAGCCGCCATTCTCTCGGTTTTAATCTCAAGCGAGAAACCAGCACCTGTGTTGTATCGTGGGTGCAATTTATACTGTGAGAACCCCTTTTAATAATATCAACCCTACGAAATTTCTCGCTATTATGTTTAACGTGCCACCATGCTCTTTAATGTTTTTTTCCCATTCGCTTTTTATTTCACCTAAAAGAAAAAGATCTGATTGATTGTAAACCGGGAGAAAATCTTCTTACTTCAGCTTAACTTTGTAATAATTACACCTCCATAATAGCAACTATGAAATTCATTAGATGGGAGGATGCGAAGAGGATTAACTGAGTATAGAATGGAATTTCCTGGTAAACTGACGCGTCATGCTTCACTACGTGCTAAGAGGAAATAATAGCCCCAACTTATTGTATGTTAGAAAATTTAATAATATAGGTATTGGAATTAATGAACGTATGGTAATTGATGATAAAATTAAAAGGAATAAAAAATTAAAAAAAAACTAGAAATAATAGTAGCACTATTACTAGAACTAACAGTAGACTTAGGACTGGTTCAACGAAATTCGAATATTTCTGAAGAAGGTTGCAACATCCGAAACGTCAAACATTTTTTCAAAAGACTCCCTGCTTAACTCAAAAGTTTCCAGGTCTAGTATTAGTTCTAGTGAGAGTGTTACTATTAGTTCTAGTTTTAATTTAACACCGGCCGTGAAAGCCTTCGTACTTATATAAATAAAAAATTGTAAGAAAACACCATTTTCGTAATTAAAGATAGTTCAAAATAAGAATTAATTAATTAAGAGAAAGGAAGTATATTTAAACGAGATCTTCATCTCAATCTAAATCTGTTCGCAAGCAATCCCAACTGGGACAGACATAGAAAGGTCTAACTTGCGACGAGAACGACTGCAATCCGAGAATTTACGGTCGGTGTTTGGATCTCCTTTTTCATCCCGTTCTTTTAAAGTAGAATCTAAACTCCATCTCGCTGTAGACCAGGGTAAAGTATGACGGTCGTTTCCGGTTATTCAGGCAAAAGAGGTCGAGCGAATGCAAACCGCGTAAAGTAATTTCGTGGATTTATAAAGTCCCGTAAACTGCAGCTCCTACTTTCCAAAACAACACCAAACTTATTGACGTACAAAGTTATTTATACTAGATATTGTGATTAAATAAATTGCCATTTTATTTAATTTAACGAGAACAATATTCGTTATGTAAAAGAAGTAGATGGGCCAAGAATTGTTACGTAGTTAATTGTACTCAAAAAGAACTATTAAAAAAGATTTATGCAACCCACTTCGAGAACAGGTGTGAGTCGTTACGCAAAGCTGCTCGTTGAATAAATGTCGTCGGGGTAGAAAAGTCGAGAAACCACCACAATGCCCTTTCCTCGTAAAATCATTAACCCTACGTCGCGACGTGCTGGAAAAGGGTAGATACAATAAAAAGCACAACGAAGATAAATATGCAAAAACCGGGTTGAAAGGCCGGTTATTATATAAGTAGGGAAACCCACTTATATCGTCTCCCACATAACAATGGCTTTACATTTGCACCAATGTTTTAGACATTTAATTGTTTAAGGCACATTTTGTTTCCATTTTAGCAGAAAAAAGTTTCCATTTTACCCTGTGTAGGTTCACTTACGGTCAATTAGGTTAAAGTAAGAGTAATGGTTAAAGTCTGTTTTGATTTAACCATTACTGTTTTGAAATCAACGTTTATCAATACCGTTGTCTAGTGTTAGTTCTACCTTTAGTTCAATAAAAATATACAACAATCTAGCCCTGAATAAGGATTAAAACTAGAACTAACATTAGACCTAGAACTAGAAAGTTTCGGGCTTAGCCGTACGTCTTCAGAAGGAGGCCCGTTATATCGAGCTTTTACTGTACTCTATATCTGTTATTTTTTGTATCTATTTTTTCGGTTTATTCAAAATTCTTTTGACCTTTTCATCGTATACATTGGCGTAATACATACTGTAAATTGAACCCGACAAGAATCCAACCTCGGGATCGTATTTTATATAAAAAGGAAATTTAATAAACACTCTCCGTGATCCTATCCGCCCGGAAAATCGCAAACGACTGATTCATGTAAACGAACTTTCGAGGGTATACACATACGACGCCCTCTCCTCGTCTCGCGGAATACCATGAAGCGATTTCCTTGCATCCCTTCCGGCCTTAACCATTAGTTTAGTCTTGTTCTATATGTTGAAAAATGATGTTTTTTTGCGGATACATCCTCATGGTTCAAGCGCGTGTCTTGGGATAATATCGAAAATATAATGCGGTAATGCAGGCCGAGAACATTTCAATTCCCGTGGCAGTTACAGCTAACCTACAATGCACATTACTCACAAACTTTCCACTCACCATTGTTATTGGATCAATTTTGTTCAAACTTTAACACAAATTTTCTTTCCTGAATTAATATAAATTCGTGTTTAATAAAATTGTTATAAAACTTTTTTTTGCTACTTTTTGCTAAGAAATAAATTTCAAAGAAACAAGGTTGATAAAAATTCATGCTGCAAAGCAAAACGTACATGTTGAATATGTGTCGCTGGCAGCTGCAGAATAAAGCGATGATCTATTTGTTAGAAGAATAAATCGAATTTTTCGTTTCGCTCGTGAAGGATTTCCCGAATGACA